GAATAGCGTCGAATAACGTCGATTTGACGCGCATAGCGTTGAGGTTTCATATGGGTACTGTTCTGCCTTGTTTTAGTAACAGAATTTTGTTTCGCTTTGATATGCGACGCAGTTTAACGATATAAATATTTCACACTCTCGAAGGCTCGGTATAGAACACACAAAAAGTGAAAAAAAAACTTCTTATTCTCAAATTTCATATACAATCAAATGGCTTGTACCAGCGATTTTTATTGCGCAGTTGTGTGTGAATAGAATGTCCGTTGTAAACATTCATACATACAAGGAGGAGCGAGATAGCATTGGACAACGATTTGGGTGACAAAGATGACACATTTTTATGTTCTGATCACATCACATGATATAGACCATTTTGTGGTGTTCGAGAATTGAGAAAAAAAAATCAGATTTTTTTTTTCACTTTTTATATTCTATACGGAGTATCCGAGAGTTTCATATAAACTCGCCTTGCAATAGCCAAATGACGCCTATTGATTCAATCACGATTGGTATTCGCTTACTATTCAATAGGCATCACATAGCAATCTTATATGAAACTCTCGGAGACTCGGTATAGAGCACTCAAACAGTGAAAAAAACCGCTGAAATGGCACTGTTGTACGTCCGCACATATTTTGCCTTTGTCATTTCAGCAGTCTTCCGTGTTTTTCAAACAAGCTTCTATATAGATGGTAAAAATGAGCGAAAAATGAAAAAAATAATTAAATTTTTTTTCTTCGATTATCAAATACTACTCAATTTTCCATATCAATTGGTGAAATCAGAATGAAAAAAATCGCATTCCATATCATTTAAATCACGATCTGGACTTTTTTCACTGTTTGAGTGCTCTATACCGAGTCTCCGGGAGTTTCATATAAACTTGCTATGTGATGCCTATTGAATAGTAAGCGAATACTAATCGTGATTGAATCAAAAGGCGTCATTTGGCTATTGCAAGGCGAGTTTATATGAAACTCTCGGAGACTCCGTATAGAATAAAAAGTGAAAAAAAAATCTTATTTTTTTTTTCTCAATTCTCGAACACCACAAAATGGTCTATATCATGTGATGTGATCAGAACATAAAAATGTGTCATCTTTGTCACTCAAATCGTTGTTCAATGCTATCTCGCTCCTCCTTGTATGTATGAATGTCTACAACGGACATTCTATTCACACACAACTGCGCAATAAAAATCGCTGGGACAAGCCATTTGATTGTATGTGGAATTTGAGATTAAGAAGTTTTTTTTTCACCTTTTGTGTGTTCTATACCGAGCCTTCGAGAGTGTGAAATATTTATATCGTTAAACTGCGTCGCATATCAAAGCGAAACAAAATTCTGTTACTAAACAAAGCAGAACAGTAGCTAGTTATCAGCACAAAATGAATGTTCTTTATTCCTTTGGTAACGAAATATTGTCTCGCTTTGATATGCAACCGTTTTGAGTCGCGTTTCGATATGCGAGTAAACAATAAGTTGTTTTTATTCTAGAGCGTTCATTTATTTTCAGCGAATCACTATTTATCGAATCAAATCACATTTAAATAATCGTTTCTCTAAATTGTAACACCTTTTATTAAAAAAAATTCTCATTAAATTGCACAATTTATCTTCAATATAAGAAATTTATAGGCGCTTACAAACGAATTTATTTGTTTCATAACAATTTTGTACAAACTAAAAGAGTTTTGTTGACATTTCTTAATTGTTGTTTTTTTTTTTAACTTTGACAGATTTTGCCAATTATTATTTTATAATTAAAACAACCACGTATTGCGTTGCTAAAATAACAAAAAAATACGCTTCAATGTTATCGGTTTCCCTTGTAATACATACATAAAGGGTGTTTTTTTTTCGTCTGATAGATCTTTAACTTAAAATAAATCATAAACCAGTTTTAATTTAAACATGAAATCGACTTTATTTGGTTGATATGATAATGGCAATTTTGATAACGGCCTCCACAGCTACGTTTTACACAGGCCAGTAATTTAACCAAAAGTGGGCTTCGTCGAAAAAGATGATTTTTCGGTATATTTCCGTATCATTTTGGAGCTTCTGCAGGGCCCAACCGACGAATGTGCGGCGCGTTGGATGGTTATTCCACTTCAGTTCTTGTACCAACTGGACTTTATAGGCCTTCAGACCTTTTCGTAAAATTCCGAAAAAAGACCCACTTGTTGTGCACGGCATCGAATTGATAAATTACGGTTCTTTTTTACCCAAAATTATCTTTAAAACAAAATTGCCATTATCATATCAACCAAATAAAGTCGATTTCATGATTAAATTAAAACTGGTTTATGATTTATTTTAAGTTAAAGATCTATCAGACGAAAAAACAACCTTTAGTACAACATAGTAGTTTGAGTACTTTCACAGGATTTGGCAGCGTTCGTTTATCACTATAGTGTTGAGTCTTTTCGTTGACAATAACAAAATATGATAAATAAACGTGCGATATGACTATGAATCTGAAATAAAAGCGAAAAAACTATTATAAATACACATATTATAAGGATTTCCCGCTTTCATAAATTCTTTATCTTGTCCTTCGACTATTTAATCAAATCTATATCAAGATAACAATAGCTTTATTATTAAAAATAAACATGTTATAACGATTTCAGTTTAAAAATGATAATTTTTTTTATTGATTAAAACTTTTTACAAACGGAACAAAAAAATGTGCATGGAGTGCAATAATGGTAATTATTTTTCGTCGGTGCTCATTTCGTCAGACGAATCTAATTGCATTTGCATTTCAATGTCGTGATCATGAGTTCCGTTCATGTGTGGCCTAATCAAAATTAAATTGTTATCATCGATATCACTTTCATCAACGGTATCGCTGTCATTTTCTGATTCACTTCCATCATCCATTCCTAGAACCACTTTTAACGTGTATTTATTGAAGTCACACACCTTGCTTAGTGCTTCATACCTAGGGATGATCAGAAGAAAAGAATTAAAAAAAATAGAAATTATCAATAAGTAATGGAATAGTAATTTTTGCTTCATACTTTCGGGTTAAACTGTCTTGAATCGATATTAAGGACTGTTGTTTAAAGACATTTTCTTTCCCTGCGTGGATGGTAAGTATTTTCGTGGCCCAAATCAGGTAGAATTCAACATGTTGACTGACATTGACTTGCTTAGTTACAAATTCTAGAATTTGTTCCACATAAATTTCAGGTAAAGCCGCAACCACCAATTCAACTACATCATAAAAATAAATTGATAGCCATATATTGTTATTTATACCAAGTGGTTGCATAAATTTAGTTTATTATTAAAAAGTCAATAAATTATATATTTAATGGTGGATTTAATTTTTTTGAACACATTAACAGCATGCAATGAGAAAGAGTGAATTTATCTGAGTCAGCACAGACATACATAGATGCGAACGAAACATTTTATTTGGTTAGTGTTAATTGTCTTAAAAATGTGTGAATATTCTACATTTCGTCTTGTATGACCATTTGTATTTTTGTCAGCGAACAGAAATCGTGTACAATAATATGAAGCCGAACAACGGTCAAATTTCAATATAAAAAAATACCGCACACAACGCATCGGATGCTATGATATTTTTCCAAGAATTTGTTTTTGTGTAATCACATTGTTCAGACAGTCGATTTCCTTTTAGTCATTTTATAAACGGTATCAAAGACATATTCGCTAGGGGATATCCATGCGAATTAGAATTAGCACATTAGCAAAAAAATAGGGAAATTTACATGAAGAAAATAGCAAAATTAGCAATAAATAGCAGAATTAGCACTGTACACGTATATACTTTAGTAAGCATTTATTCTTGAATATATTGAAATAATTAATTAAAATAAAATTCACAAAACAAACGAATTGAATAGTGTTGAACTAAAATATATCAAAATATGTAGTTAAATACGCTTTTTCTCATTTTTAAATAAAAATATATTCAATGGCACGTAACCAAGCACGTTTCCTACAATTTACGAATTGCAATCGGAAATGTAGATTTGATGACAGATTTCTTACTGAAAACGTATACGCTAGTGCCTGCTTCAAATATACACGTTGAAAGTGTCAACTTGAAACATTTACGTAAACACATTTCGGTTATTCGATCATGCAGTCAATCTGATGTATGCAATATTTTTGACGTACTAGAAAAATTAGCAAAAAATAGCAGTATTAGAACAAACTAGTAGAAATACTAGCAGAATTAGTGAAAAATAGAGAGGAATAGCATTTATTATTATAAATTATTCGATCTGCAATTCATGGTTATCCCCTAGGTTCAAATACAGTGTCCATTCTCCATTGACTCATAATTAGAATATTGATACCACCAATTACTTGGAACCCATGTAATAATGTAATCATTGTCAATGGATCTACTTGAATTGTTGACTCTTCTTTTAGTTTTAGCGCTTTTAAATACATACCTTCTTTCGTTTGATATAAATACAGTTTTTTTTGGAGCAAAGTCATTTTTTCAGTTAATATAAATTTTTGTGCCAGGAATTCAAAATTTAAGTCTTTAGACTTACCTTATCTGATTGGTCTTCTTCAAAAGACAATGTTTAAACCTGACATTTTTTTCAAGAAAAATGTACTATTTCTCCATGTTTCTTTTAACAAATTATATGTTTTTATTGAGTTTGAACAATTTTGACGAGAGATAACATATTTTGGCACATATTTTAATATTTATATAGCTATTTACGTGGTGTAAATTATCAACACTTAAAAAATTACATAGAATTAATATCGGTCTTTTATTAAGCGTTTACAACAGCATTTTCATATTATATTTTATAGAAATTGGTACATTTATTTATATACATAGGTAGAAAATGGATACAATCAAATAATCGAAAAGAGAATCAATTGAGTATTTTAGAAAATTGTTACTTGTCTCCATTTAAATTTATTCGACCTAAACTATTGGTTATTTTGTGATTTCTAAAAAATGAATTTACGTGGATGTTGTAGTTTTTTTGCTAATCATAAAGAATTTACGAACGTTATGCAGTTGCATGTTGATGTTCAACTGTAATTTATGTATTGAATTATTTCTTTTCATTTGGAGTCCTGCCTGCACTTTTTTGTGACATTTGACTTCCTGAAGGCGATCATTTCGTTGGCGATCGATCCATGTCTAAGTCGTTTTCATTCAATAACGATGAAAGACAGTGTGACCTGTTGAGATCAAG